ACAGTTGTTTCCAGTGTATCCTTCTAAACAGTAACAGCGGTAGCCCCCAACCATATCCCTACAAGCGGCTCCGTTCTTGCAGGGAGAAGACTCACACTCGTTGACTTCTAAAAATTCGTAAGAAATAAGTTGAATAGAAAGTCACCGTTTGGCTGCTGAATTGTATTTATTCTTCCTTTTCTTACGCTGAAATTTTAAAGGTGTCTTGGTTGTGTACTATGGTTGGAAGGCCGGGTTAAGATTGATTACAAACTTAAAACTTAAAACTGAAAACTGCGAAACTGTAAATTGTTTACATCATTCCAACATCACACTACTCTTGTGTTTTTTATGTTGTTGTTGGTCTGTGTTCACTGCTATCTTAGGTACTGGCTTGCCTGACTGTCGGGTCGTGTATCAACACAACCATGACTGGACCAAAACTAACATGAACATGCACAAGGTTCACAGCCGCTTTTATTCAAAAATGTACTTTCAAAGGGGACACGGCAACAACTGTTTTCTGTAAAATATCTGGAGAAGCAAATATTGCCTAAAATTTCCGAATTCTATTACTTAAGGAAGGCTAAAAATTTCTATATAACCGTTCTATCCATGTACAATTTTCGGAGCTCATCAAACTAAAATTTCCTACGATTTTCTGAGGTTAAATTTTTCACATTTCACTCCCAAGGTTAGACTATTTTTCGTAGAAAAAAGGAAAAAATATCATGGAGAGGGTAATCAGAAATAATAATATTCATAATACATTAAATTGCCTCTAAAATGTTAGGGCAAAATAAGACTGAATCTCTTGTAATTTCGAAAAGACTCATTCAAGACAAGTTCCCCTAGGATGACCAAACGGATACAAATGTTATAGCTCCGCTTAAAAATCATTTCTAGACATATGTACCTAAAACTACTCTTGATTGCCTAAAATGTGTTTTCAAGGAGAAAACCGTCGTTGGATTTCCCTGTTTCAATACAGTATATAAATTTAGCCAGGGCTAAAAGCGAAGCTCTCGATAATATTTGTTATAGTTTGTTCAAACAAATATAAAATCACGTGATGCTAAGCGACGAAGGCAAAGCAGGAGAACGGTGAAAAATAACAATAGGTCTAATTAGCAATAAAAGCAACTTTGCACGTGCAGCAGACTTTTTTTGTACATTTCTTTTCCGTTGTTTTGCACGACTACAACGTGAAACTTCCAGAAACGTCCTAGTTACACGTTTTATGGAGGAAATGTCGTACGTGTTCTCGGTCGCTTTTTTTTTCACTGCCGCTCATTTTCACCTTGCATTGGTGGCCGCTGGCATTTCTAATTTTGTTACCGCCGCTACAAAATTTTCATGTTGTTCTTCCAACAATTAAATGTCTCCTTTGCTTTTTTCTCGTTGAGCTTCGCTGGCCTGCCGCCTACTTTCTTTTTTTCTCTGTCTTTCTCCTGCTCTATATTCCAAATTGGTGGACATGACAATTAATCTAAGCTAAATACTTTGCACAACATGGATACAGAAACAATCTCTGCTTTCCGTTTTCGTGTTTACTGACTCTTTAGTTGTCTCTGCTTTACAAGACGCTGGTGGCTATGCGATTTTCCGCCAAAAAAACCTCTAGTTGCATTTGGGTTGCCACCTGTTGATTGAGTTATTTTACATTGGTATGTCTGTGGTGCGGACGGACAGTCGCTCGGGCGGTCGGTCGGTGTACGGTCACGTGACTACCAAATTTTCTCGGAAGGGTAGATTGCTTTATTTTCTTACCTATGGTGCTCCGCCGGCGCGCTTCGCCCGAGAGCTCCGTCATAAACAGTAATAAATACAGATTTTGTCCCAGAAAAGACAAAGGTACAGAAAACGAACCGCTATACAAAAGTCAAGAAGAGGAAGTGGGGATCAGAGACACCTCCTAGAACCGAGACTTCTTCATCAAGTAAGATCCATTACTACTCTGACTGATTGACTGCTAAAAAGGCTTGAAAAGGCATAAAAATTTTCGGAAAGAACTGTGCAAAGTTCTTACCTGTTTCGCAGTTGTTTCCAGTATACCCTGATTTGCAATTACAGCGATAACTTCCCGCAAGATTTACGCAGGTTGCACTGTTCTTGCACGGGTTGTTCGTACACTCATTGATGTCTGAAGCGTAAAAATGGACGGCAGTAAAGTTCTCGATGTTTCGCAGTTAGAATAGGATCTCTTTCTTGCTCTAAGCCTATAACGTTAATTGTCTTAATTTGGGGGGGGGGGGGGGGGGAAAAAAAATTTTTCAGGGGTAAAAAAAAATTTAAGGCCCCCCCCAAATTTTTTTTTTTTTTTTTTTCAACAAAAAAAAAAAAAAATTTTTTTCCCCCCCAAAAAAAAAATTTTCCCCCCGCACCCAAACTTGTCCCCCCGGGACCACAGCCCCCAAAATTAAAAAAAAACACCCCCCACAAAACCCAATTTATTTATCTTTCGCATTGTTATAGTTTTTTGTTTTATTTTTTTTTACATGACTTCGCCCCCCCAATGTTTGCCCCCCTTTCCCCCCCCCCCCCCTCCCAGTTTGGGAGAGTAAAAAAGTGTGGTAATAAAAGTTTTGTTTTTTTCCAAAATGAAAAGGGGTCTTTTTTTTTCTTTAACCCAAAAACTTTATTTTGTTTTATTGGGGGGGGGGGGGGAGAGAAAACAATTTTCCAGGAGTATAGACAAGTTGAAGGCCTCTCCGACTAGTTTTTTTTTTTCATTCTACACTGAAAACTAAAAGATCTGTTTCAGCCCTGAAAAAACAATTTAGCCCTGCACGCCAAAGTCTGCTACCTGGAGCCAATTGACCACAATTTGAACCAAAACAGCCCCATCAAAGGCTGTTCCAACCCAGGCTGAGACTCAATTAACCTCGTCGGTCCAAATCAGTCCGAGGTAATTGGACTGTATTGGTCCTTATTACAGGAGTCAAATTAGACCCAAAAATATGACTGTATTTGACTCACCGAAACGGCCCTGTTGTTAGGGCTAAAACAGATCTTTCTGATTTACAGTGTATAGTAACTGTTTGTTCATCAGTTTATCCCGAAATCCCACCAGACGACCTTTGCAATAGTAGACATAAAAAGGTGGGCAGTTAGTTGTTGGTTTCAAATATCCATTTATGTTCACAATGCATTAACATTCAGTTTACTCGTACCAATTCTTCTTAGTTCCCACTGATTATTACTTGGGGTTCAAGGGTATTCTTCCGAATTATATGCTAACAGATCCGTAATAAAGGGATGCTGCTGGATCACCTGTTTCACAGTTGTTCCCAGTATAACCAGATTTGCAATCACAGCGATAGCTTCCCACAAGGTTCACGCAGGCTGCCCCATTCTTGCATGGATTGTTCGTGCACTCGTTGATGTCTGAAACATGAATTCAGTTTATACGGCAGTTTTATAGTTTTTGTTGTTTCGCAGTTCAAATAGGATGTCTCAAACATTGTTTTTAGTAGTATTGTTTTTAGTATTCCAGCTTTGGTATACAGTGTGAGTAAGGCCATGCCATTAAGTAATTTGGTGTTTTGAAGATCAAGGTACAGGTCCCAGAGGGAAGCTATAAGTGTGAGCTATTTGCTCCAAAAACAGTTGACTTTCATCTTCTGCCATAACGCTGCTTGGCTTGCCCTTTCAGAGTAAAATTTAATTATTATAAATTTATTGGGTCGTTGAAACAGTCAAGACATGTTTGCAAATAAATAAACAAGTTGAAATCTTTGGTTTATTCATTTTAAGACTGCCTTTTTCGTCAATCGTGAATTCCACCATTCGATAATTTGTAGGCTGTTTTCTTGGATCTAAGACATAAAAAAATAGGCAGTTCAGGTTACTTATTCCTCTTTTCCACTGATTATTAATTGGGTTTAAGAGTGTGGCTCCAAGTTATACTGTAACAGATCCGAAAAAAAGAGATGCTTAAGCCCATACCTGTTCCACAGGTGTTTCCAGTATAACCAGATTTGCAATTACAGCGATAACTTCCCTTAAGGTTTACGCAGGTTGCCCCGTTCTTGCATGGATTTTTCGTACACTCGTTGATGTCTGAAACATGAATTCAATTTAAACGGCAGTTAAAGTTTTTTTTCGCAATTCAAACAGGATGTCTCAAAACTTAGAGAAGCCCCTCTTCCCTTGTTTTTAGTAGTCCAAACGTTCGTACAGTGTAAGTAAGGGCATACTATTCAATAATTTGGTATTTTGAAGATCAAGGTACAAGTCCCAGAGGATAGGTGGGGTATTTGCCCAAAAAACAGTTCATCACAGCAAAATATACTTCCATCTTTTACTATAATGCTGTAAGGCTTGCGCTTTCAGCGGAACTGAAAACTTAAGTGTTGTAAATGGGTAGTTAAAACAGCCTGTCAAGACATGTTTCCAAATAAATAAACAAGTTGAAATCTTTGGTTTATTCATTTTAACGACTGCTTTTATTTCGTCAATCGTGAATTCCACCAATCGATAATTTGTAGGCTGTTTTCTTGGATTTTAGACATGGAAAGATAGGCAGTTTTGGTTTGTTTATTTCACTTAAAAATGCGTTTTACATCTTACTTGTGCTTATTCCTCTTTTCCACCGATAATTTTTTTGTTTGGTTTAATACTGTGGCTTCAAGTATACAGCAACAGATCCAAAATAAAGAGATGCTTAAGCCCATACCTGTTCCACAGGTGTTTCCAGTATAACCAGATTTGCAATTACAGCGATAACTTCCCTTAAGGTTTACGCAGGTTGCCCCGTTCTTGCATGGATTTTTCGTACACTCGTTGATGTCTGAAACATGAAATCAGTTTAGACTGCAGTAAAAGTTTTTTTTCGCAATTCAAACAGGATGTCTCAAAACTTAGAGAAGCCCCTCTTCCCTTGTTTTTAGTAGTCCAAACTTTCGTACAGTGTACGTTAGACCATACCATTCAGTAATTTGGTGTTTTGAAGATCAAGGTACAAATCCTCGAGGGAAAGTGGGCTAATTGCTCCAAAAACAGTTGATAAAGAAATGCTTAAGCCCATACCTGTTTCACAGTTGTTCCCAGTATAACCAGACTTGCAATTACAGCGATAACTTCCCTTAAGGTTTACACAGGTTGCCCCATTCTTGCATGGATTTTTTGTACACTCGTTGATGTCTGAAACATGAATTCAGTGTAGACGGCAGTAAACGTTTGTTCCGCAATTCAAACAGGATGTCTCAAAACGGAGAGACGCCCCTCTTCCCTTGTTTTTAGTAGTCCAAACTTTCCTACAGTGTAAGCAAGGCCATACCATTCAATAATTTGGTATTTTGAAGATCAAGGTACAAGTCCTCGAGGAAAAGTGGGCTATAATTGCTCCAAAAACAGTTAATAAAGAAATGCTTAAGCCCATACCTGTTTCACAGTGGTTCCCAATATAACCAGATTTGCAATTGCAGCGATAACTTCCCTTGAGGTTTACGCAGGTTGCCCCATTCTTGCATGGGTTTTTCAAGCACTCGTTAACGTCTAAAACATAAATGATTTTTTTTTTCAACATTCAGTATTGCTACCCTAATTTTTGTGTTCTCCATGATCTAACTAAATTTCAATCAGCGGATCATGTTCTGACCTGTTTCGCAGTTTTTGCCAGAGTATCCAGATTTACATCTGCAGCTGTAACTTCCTGCCTGGTCGATACATGTTCCACCGTTTTTGCAGGGTTTGGAAAGTCTGCATTCATCTGACAAAAGCACAAAAATCAAGATAACTGTTGAAAATAATCATAAACTATTCATAAAGAATGAATGAATGAGCGTCCTTGTATCTGTTAAAGACACGGCTTAACTTTACATCCAGTTTTTTAGACCAAACTAACCCCAAATCTAAATGTTAGTGTAAGAATGGATTGATCTATATCACAGATTTTGAAGCAGTTAAAAAACTCGCAGTCTTGTATTATCAGGTGTAAAAACTCTCACCTTCGCCTCGACTTTTTTAACCTGATAATGCACTCCTGTTCGTTTCTTAAACAGCTAAGTATAACTGCTGAAAATTATGACATTATTATCCTTTTAATTATTTACCCCCGGCAGTATTTATAGCCCTGAAACCCCACTGGCCGGAGGTAAACCAGCTGGCTATTGACTAGCACGGCCGAGGACTTGAAGTCGGGACTTTCAAGAAGAAATACAGCAATCGATCCGAGGGCGGGACATTAACTCGTGGCCTCCGAAGTGCAACTCCAGCACCTTAGCCAGTCGACCACGTTGCCGTGGGTTTCTTGAAAGGAATTATGCTGGAAAAATTACTTACTTACTTTATTTGTCAGCTATAACATACCAACATTCATTTTGCAACACTTCAGCCTCTCAATGCAGTAAAGCTTATCACATCCACCCTTGTATATACCAGCCACGTAGTATCCACTTTGTTTACACTTGCTGAGCCCGATGTGATCAAACTTTCTCCCGATATCCTCTGTGTAGCATCTCTCATATCTGTTTGGTAATGTTTTTGGCTTACAGCACCTGGCCTCTTCGATGTGGTGCAACCAATCACCGCTATTTCGATAGAAACCTTGGATAAAGTAACCGTTAGGACAATTAGCCCACACGTTCGTGCTGTCAAAAGGAAGAGAACGTGAGCTGTTAATTCAGATTCAGTAATACGCTAATTTTGATACATTAAAATTCACACTTGTCTCCGAGGCTTGGGGGAATAAAACAAAGGAAACGTATCATTCATTGCCGAGCTTTAAGACGACTTCTTTTGTTTTATTCCCCAAGCTAGCCTCGCAGCTAAATACATTGCATGGATTTTAATTCATATCATTAAATAATAATTATATATATCGAAAATAGTCTTACAATTAGTTATTTCAGTAAAGTAAAGGGAAGCTTTAGTCACTCAGGTGTATCTATGACAAGTATCTTTTCGAATGAATTTTTTCAAGGCTTCCTCTAGAACAGAGAGTCGTCTTTTCTGCGGTCATTATTGACAGCAAAATCTGACTGATCCATGACCTAATAACACCCCTCGGGATAACACCCTCTCAGCTGAATAAGAGTCGAGCATCTTGCTCATGATGATAGAGCACTGGTTATAAAGGTTTGATTGTTTAAGAACGTTGTTATTATATTTTAAAAGACTTAGCAGGAGAACACTTAACCCAGAGATGCACACAAAGCATTATAATCCACTTTCATCGCCTCACTGCACCTTAATAATACATAGCGGACTGGCAAAAGAGGCTAGTATTCGACTTTATTTCGTCTACTGCATGAAGCCTTTTTGAGTGTTATGCCAGAAAAAAGTCACTTTTAATTGACATGTATATTTGATATTTTCAAAGAATTAATTGTAATTTAAGACACTCTCTCTTTTTAAATTTAATCTGTTGCACTTACCGATCTAGCACTCGCCACCAATTGGCGTTTGCACATGTCGATGGAGTGCCTTGATCCGGCGCTGGAGCGGGGCAGCATTTTGCTTCCTCCAACAAAAAGATTTTATCTTTTGAACCCCTGGGGTTATTTCTCCACAACCCAGTAATGTAGTGGCTTGATGAATCACACTTGACCCACCCTTTTTTATCAAAGGCCCCCCGCCAGTTGGCCATTCTACAACCATCGTACATACTACAACACTTCAATTTTTCAATGCAGTACAACTTGTCGCAACCACCTTTATAGATACCAGTAAGATAATAATCCGTATCACACTGGCCCCATCCTTTTTTGTCGAAAGATGATGAAATATCATGGTCATAGCAATCCAACCATTTGGTTGGCAAGTTATTGGGTCTAGCGCAGCGGCCTTCCTCTATGTGGTGAAGCCATTTGCCAGTGTTACGATATATTCCTTGAAGAAAGTAGCCACTGGGACAAACGGCCCAGCGGTTGTTGCTGAAAGAACAAAAGGTTAAGTTATGTTTTAGAAAAATCACCAAAATGTCCTTTCGATCAGGAATGGTATGAACAACCACAACCCTAGAAGAACAGGGTACTTGACTGAGAGAGAAATGCGCTTTTTGTAAACGTCTTACCTTGGCCTTTGGAATAAGATACCACACTACATATATATATATAACGGTTCTGCCTAAGAAAACTTTGCAAAGAGTTCTCCGCAAATTGCTATTTGATATCTTAGAAAAAGAGGATGACTTTATTCAAACACCCTTGATTATTAAAAAAGTCGCTTTATGTAGATATATGCTTGATACACTTTTGTGCTTTCCTTTCCTGTGTTTTGAAGTACTCTTGTTCATCTTTAAGAATGACTCCTTAGATCTCCTTACCGCTGACTGAACTTCTTCGTTTTATTTTATTGATGCTAAGTTGCAGTCTACAAGGATTTGTAAAGTACGGATTTAATGACCTAACTTTTGCCCAAAAAAATAAACGAATGAATGCCGTAAGTATCAAAGTCTTTAGTCATACATTTCACAAATCTTTCAAAAGGATTTGATGCCGTCACAGTTTTGAGGCAGCCTGTTGTTATAATAGGCCAATTATGAAAGCCAACATTAATCTGAACTCAGTTCCCAAACAATTATCAGCGTTTTCGATGTTACAGCCACTTGTCGACCCTTGAATTGGGCCAAGGTAAAGTCCGCGATTATTTTTGTACAGAATTTCAAAGGCTTAAATCTTTCCTAACCTGTCTAATGTTCCCCACCAGTTTGCAATAACGTGAGTCGATGGGCGATTTTGATTCGGCGCTTGAGCTTTACAACATCTTCCCTCTTCGATTAAGAAAATACCGTCGTTGTCTTTCCAGTTGTCATTTCTGTACAGTCCATTCAAATATTCGGTGGATTGACATGTCACCCATCCCTTTTTGTCAAATGCCTTCCACCAATTTGCCACTCTACACTGGCTGGAACAGAGATCTAACATGGCTGCTAGGACCAAACAATGGAAGAGAAGCTTCATGTCGAATTACAGGCGTCTCGAGTTATCTGACAATTACACGACAAGAAGCACATATTTATTTTTAAGAAATACTTCTAAAAAATCAAACAAAATTTTGGAACTACTTGTAACAAACGTAATGTTATTCTTTAATCAATAATTCCTGCAGCCCTAGCCCTAAAGTAAAATAGAGCAAATTATGTATCCTGATTACATGCCGTCCTTTAACCCTAGGACGTACAAGTGCGTGGGGAGGTTTTTCTGATTTTTTCCAGACGATAAAATATCAGCACCTGACGTTTTCAGGAGCTGTTCGTTTATCCCTCACACGCATTTTGAGACAACTTTAGTGATGACCAGTCACTATGGTTACGAAATATGACGTCATAAGAAGCAGGTGGTCAAACCATTTTGAGTGAAAATGCAGAAAATGCATGTTTTCTCAACTTCTTTCGTTAATGAAAGTAAACATTGTGGATAAAATGATGCAAATTGCTAATTTGTGTGTTATTTGACCTCTCAAGCGAAAAACCCATTACCATTTCTTGCGGTTTTAACCTGATTTCTGATCATTGGTAAAATCCAAGATGGTGGCCAAGATGCCGACCATTGTTGGTGACTCCAGTAACGCCACCACCCATGAAATATACCTCATCTTCAGGCTTTCCATTAAAGGCAAAATCGTTTCGATACACTGCAACAAATCAAAAACTCTAGGAAGGAGTCCTTCAACCCCTTCCTCCTTGTACCACGGTGGGGGTTTGAATTTGCGTGTGCGTCCGAGCGTTAACTCTCTTTTTAACTTACAAAGCAGAGGAGGAGGATCCAGTAAGTACTAGTAATAACTTAAACAATTTCACCAGTGTGGTAGTATTAGCGATAGATTATTCAAATTTCTTTTTTTATTATTCTTTTTGATTCGCCCTTTGTAAGGGAATTTGGATTCCGGAATCCAGGAGTTTTTTGATTGTGGAATCCGGAATCCAGCAAACGTTTATTGTCGAATCCGGGATCCTACGTTTTGGAATCCGGAATATATACATCGCAAGTAATACGTAATACCGCCAAGGATTGGAATAAGTATTCCAAGTTCCACAAACAAAGAAGAATCCGGAATGCACCACCTGGAATCCAGAATCCACCGAGGTGAAATCCAGAATCCAAGACTGTCTACAATTTCCTTTCATGGGGCGACTTGAAACTGACCTGAAGAGGGTTTTAAGGAGACCTTATTAAACCAAACATAACATCATCAAAAACGATATCACGGACGTTCACTTTCAAACAATTACTAGGTGAAGTAGAGAATTTTTCTTGGTAGTTAAAAGAGGGACGAAGCCCTGGGGCAACTATCAAAGCTGATAGAAATCGAGAATGAACAATCTGAATTAATTGAGTAAGTGTCTTACTTTTTATCATGTTCTTTACTATAGCATAAACGATGGCATGCATACAAGACTGTTGGATAATAATTGTTGTAGTTTTAGATAATTATTTACCGGCAATGCAGAAGTGGTTTGTGGATCCCAGTTGCGGTTAACTTTTTCGTTTTGAAATTACCTTTTTTCAGTACTCATTGTTAGAGCTGTTTATATTATTTGAGAGACTGAAACCGTGATGATAGATTATGGCTTATGGCAACTTTTCTCCAAATCGATCTCCATAATTGCGTGATAGTAATGCTATGTCCCTTTGAAATGGATTCAGTTATTGGGGAGAAACTGTTAAAGTAAACGTTTTCACGCTATGGTATTAAAAATTTATAACTTTTGATGATTAAGAGGGGTAACAAACTGTGTGAGAGTACAATACCTGTTTTGTTATTATAACTTGGTATCCACTGAAAAAGCTTGATTACCGCTTAAAGAACCTCGAGGATCGGACTTAGAACTGTTAGAAAAGGCTAAGATATTTTGCAGAGGTTTGTGAACGGATTTGATAGGCATTACAGCTGAGTAAACAATTAAAGTTTAGCAAATATAATTAACATAATCATTCTAAGCATGTCATAAATTGGTCGGTAATTATAAAGCTATCCATTGACCAAGATCTTTCCAAAGTATATATTCATCGCTCTCTATTTACTTAAGATGACTCTTAATTAATATGTAAAGTAATCCGACATGAAAAAGAGCAGAATAAAGACATAACGATATATTATTAATAGGGTGTAATACGACACGAATTTGCAGTCAAAAGGTCAGTTTACGTATTTTATAAACGTTGTAAAAGAGTGAAAAAAAATCAGAGAAAAATGGTTAAAAAATTACTTTATAACGAATCTATTTCGGTTTTACACCACCATTAGAGATCTTGACGTAAGTAGGAATACGTTGTGACTGGATGAGAAATTACTGAAAACGTCCGGTTACTTTTTTTCACTGTCGCATCAAAGAAAAAATACAATAGTAATGGTAATAAAATAAAATAGTACGTTATAACTTTATGTCATCATGGTCTTTTACCTTCACTTTTTAAATTTTAATAAGCTCAAGGTCAATGTCTTATATTTGACGTAAATTAGCCCGATACAAAACAAAACGCCTTACTCATGAATAATATACATCAATAGGTTGAAAACATTAACGTTTAAATATTTTAACGTCGAAAAAATAATAAAAAACTGAACACCTGTAATCAAAAGATGAAACTTAAAATGCACCTAGCCATTGCTAGATATCTTGAAATTTTCTGAAAGGGTGTTTTGAAACTTGGATAAAATAAAGAGACAAAATATATGAATAAAATTATTTGACTAATTAAGTTTCCAAATGATCTGTATAACTATGATATCTGCAGTGTTCTTCAGTCGGTTGGCTCTTTTATGAGGTGATGAACACAGATCGATCTAGACAGAGTGATTTTACTGAACCCGTGAACTGGACCATTACACGGTAGTACATTTCTTAATTTCACTGTGTTTTCTCTTGTTTACTTGTAGCTGTTTGGCACAAACGTTTATACTGTTTCATGGGTTTAGTAAAATCACTCCATGCAAGGCGTTCCAAAATAACTGAATAACGGTTAGAATAAAGTTTAACAACAACCAGAGTGGAAGAAATGGTATGTGTCAGTTTAACTGATGTTTATTAAGCTGTTGAATAAACTATGCGAAATATTACATTTTTGGCCATGCACCTATGATGGCAGTAGATAAAATCCTTTAAACCGCTTAGTTCAATTATGGACATCCATACAAACGCAAACCTAAGAAAACAAAATGATAAAATGTTGTTCATAACATTTTGTTTCGTTTCAGGCACAGTTATACTGAAATTCGGCAGGCGGCCGGTATCCAACAACCCCGACCCGTTCAATCAGCCTCACATGTGTCGAAGGGGGCAGTCTGGGCGTTCTGGAGGGGGGGGGGGGGGGGGAAAACATGATTTCCTTTGGGAAGGGAAAAAAAAAGGGGGGAAAAGGGGGGAAAATAAATGGATCGGCTCAAACGCTCTTTCAACCCACAACCGCCGAAATTTCCCTATCTTTATCCCGGCCCCCAAAAAGTAGGTGAGCGCTGCCATAAAAGGAACCGGTAAAAACGCCGGGGGACTGGGAAAAGACAGGGGCCACCCCCCTTTACACCAATAAAGAAACCATAAAAAAAAAAAAAAATAATAAATTTGTTTGAGCATTGTTTTTTCAGTTACAGACACAGATGTAAAGAAGTCGGGCGGGCGGGGCGTCCCCAACACCCCCCGCCCGCTCAACACCGCTGAAGGGGGGGGGGTGGGGGCGGGTGGGGGGGCGGGGGGGGGGGGGGGGGAGGGGAAATCATGATTTCATTTGGGAAGGAAATAAATTAGTGTAGAAAAGGGAGACACATAAATGGATCGGCTCAAGCGTTCTTCACACCTACAACAGCTGTAATTTCCTTATCTTGATCCAGGCCCCAAGAAAGTAGTGCAGTCGTGCAGTAAAAGGAAATGTGAAAAACGCGCGGGGACTGGGAAGAGAGAGGGACACCTCCCCTTTGCACATATCGCGCGCGTCTTATTTCCGCTTGGAAACCGAAGTGGCAAACGCCTATTGTTCTAAATTTTCCATTGAACTACCAACTGCATTTTATATTTACCCTCTGAGTTTTACCATCACGTCCGTATTAAAATAAGGAAAAGTTTTAGCCAATCATTTTCTGACAAGAAGCTTCACACCTCTCCGCAAAAGCGACAACCAGTCAGGAATTTCAAAATATAATTTCCGTACCATCCTTTCTGTTATTATGAACAGTTTGTGTATGAGTAGATACCCTGTAATTTTTATATAATTATTCTCCTTGTTTTGTATTGGCCAGTTGACCTAAGCTTAACAGTAAAAATTAGGTTGAAAAACCATTTAGACAGAGTAAGTATCTCGAAGGATTCATGCTAATCAGTCTTATTACTATGTTAACCAATCAGAGAAAACTCTCGTCACCGTTAGTTTACAAACAGCAGATGGTTTCCTGGCTGAATTGTTGCCTTTGTTGAAAGGGCAAGCTAGTCCCTCTTCAAAAGCCCTTTCAACAATATGGAGATTCGAATGTATGTTATTAAATATCCCATGCGCCTTTAGGATCAGCATATTGTATAGTAACTGGTAATGATTAAGTTGTATATTTTACTGAGTATACCTACCTCGTCAGCTCCACTTACTCAAGACACTCGTCAACTTCGACTTCTGAAAAAAAAAGACCCATAATTGGTGCAGTTTTTAGATAAATTATATCCCTAGCTCCTCCCCTAGCTTGCACATGTACAGTTACAGCACGTACGGTGCAGAAGAAATGAGAGCGAAGTTCGCTGAATGTTGTCCTAATAAATAAAGATTGTTTGCGCAAAATTTCTTTGAGGCTCCCGCGAACTTTTGTTGAATCAAACAAAATTTCGCTGTCATCGTTGCGCATAAGTACAATAGACTGATAGATGCACCGACAAACGCTCGTAAATGCTAAAAGCCAATTGGCGGAGAGAAACCCCTGCTCACAGGGTGTTGCTCCCCTCTACTCCTTGGAAAAGGCTAGCTAAGCTGGCTAGTATGTCAAAGCATCAACTATATATCTTTGTGTAAAAGGTTAGAAACTCCCGTTACTCCTAAAAAAAAGGCCTGATACTACTCATGCTTACCAGGATTAGTCAATCGGATTACTTGTGGAGAACATCAGAATACCCAACGAAAGGTATCACGTTCCATCTCAAGAAGTCGCAAACCCTAACCAGAGGGTCTCACTGGGATGCTGGGTGGCTTTCACGGTTAATTGTTAATATTTTTCAATTTTGACGGTTGACGTTGTAATTTTTTGAGCTTTTGACTGTTGACTTTTATTAACAGGAATTAAGTCCAAGAGTTTGAGTAAATATTAACTTCTGTATATTTAAGCTAATGTTAAATATTATGTTTTTGTTGGGTTGTCTTGGCCTTTCAAATTTTGGAATGTTTTCAAATACAAGCAAGTTGTAAGGTCTTGTAATTTTAAGAGAGAGTTTTTAAGAACACGAGAACTGAGTTTTCCAGTTTAGAGCTGATTCTTCAGAAGTCAGAAGTCTTTGAAGATTAACTGAAATAGTGAGATTTGAGATACCTTGAAACTTTTTGACGGTCAATATATGAATCTGTATTTTTGACGGTTAACGGTAAAAAAATTACCTTTTTTGACGCCTGAAGGTTAAATTTTTTAGCCGTTTGGAGGCTGCAGGTTATATTACCATTGGGAACCCTCTCACCAGACTCATCAGATGGTTTAAAATTCTTACTGTACCTTCGCATGTTAATCCGAGGAATCCGATCGGACAGTCACAGTGGTAAGTGGCGACTAGATCGACGCACGTGCCACCATTCAAGCAAGGAGCAGGTGCGCAATCGTCAATATCTAAAAAGTAAAAATATTCAAGAAACAAATTATTTCACGTTATCCTAAACGTATTGGTTCTATTGAAAGTCGATTTCCGGACGACACCCAATTGCCACAAACAGATAATGACCCAAACTTTTATCCGGCTATGCTATTTCAAAAATGCTTTACCCGCTGTAAGTTATTTAATTAAATGACGTATCATATATCCTTTGCCTTTTGTCATATGCTAAGTTCAAAGAACCAACTCAATTTTTGCAAAAGACAATTAACAAAATACTGTTATTTTACTGACCATAAAGGATATTAAAGGATAATAATTCTAGCTCAAAACAGTGTTGACAAAATCGAAGAGAAATCATTGCAGGGATGATAGCATTGGCCCTTCCCATTGTGTTCTAAGGGGGGGGGGGGGTGGGATCCTTACTTAAATGGGGGCTAAAGGTTTATAGTTACTCGGTTAACAGCTTTTGCCAGGTAATCCATTACACCAATAAAAACGAGAACTCCCAAAAACACCAAACAAGTGGGCTCCGTTGTGACAAAAAATATAAAAAACAAAAAAAAAAAAAAAATAATATAATAAAAAACAAAAAAAAAAAAAAAAAAAAAAAAAAAACAAAGCACAAAAGAAATGAAAGAAGAGGGTGGGGTGGTGGGGGGGGGGTTGGGGGGGGTGGGGTGTGGGGGGTGGGGGGGGGGGGGGGGGGGGGTGGGATTCTTACTTAAATGTGGGCTAAAGGTTTATAGTTACTCGTTTCACAGCTATTGCCAGTATATCCATTCACACAATTACAGCGATGACTTCCAACAAGATCAACACATGTGGCTCCGTTCTGGCATGGATTAGGCGCACACTCGTTGATGTCTGAAATTAGAAAAAAACGAAAAAGTATCTCTGACAGTTTAACTTTTTGTGCTTCTTTCTAATTGTCTTAGCAGGGTACAGACAAGTGGGTAGTTAGTACTGACTCGGTGAAACAATAAAGAAACACAAAGTTTGAAATTTACTCGTTTCGCAGTTGCTTCCAGTGTATCCAGCCTTGCAATCACAACGATGACTTCCAACTTGATCCACACATGTGGCTCCGTTCCGGCATGGATTAGGTACACACTCATTGATGTCTAAAGAAGTGAACAATGAATCAGTTTTACCGAGTCAGGATGCAATTTTAGCTACCGACTAAAATTAAGTGCCAGTGCTTACTTGTTTCACAGTTGCTTCCAGTGTATCCAGCTACGCAATCACAGCGATAACTTCCGACTTGATCCACACATGTGGCTCCGTTCTGGCATGGGTTAGGTGCACAGTCATTGATATCTGTTGATTGAAATTATAATAATAATTATGACGTCTTTCAGGATAAGCCCTATCCCCTCTTTATTAGAAATTCTAATCAACAAAGATAATTCAAATCATGACTTGTCCCGGTGGAAACTGCTCTATTTCTGCACAACGTTGTGCAAACACCTTTTCCTAAAAAATGGCTTCGTACAAGTTATTACAACATATTAGTCGCTATTAATCTAGCTCCAAACTTTTGAGGAAACAGCTGAGGAAATGTCTACAAGGAACTCAAAATCATCCTCTGAAGGGAAAGGGGTTCTCAGTTTCGACAAAACCGGTGCAGTAAAACCGTTAAGAGGGTGGTTCCATCCTCCCGGCTCCACACCAAATCCCCAAGAGTTTCACATACTTTTTTCCTAAGTGCTTACTTGTTTCACAGTTGTTTCCAGTGTATCCAGCCTTGCAATCACAGCGATAACTTCCGACTTGATCCACACATGTGGCTCCGTTCTGGCATGGATCAGGTACACAGTCATTGATATCTGTTGAGAGCAATACAATGCACATTAAATTATTTCAAAATAACCGCCATCCCCTACTTATTAGGAATTCTAATCAACAAAGACAATCTAAAAAATTTAAAGTAGATTTCTGCATAGCAATATGCAAAACACTATTTGCAAAAAATGGCTTTAATTCGTGATACTTATTACAACGTAACTGGCCACAAACCAAATTTTGAGTGAAATGTCTAGTAAAAACGCATAGTAATCTTCTTGCGGGAAAGGGATTTTCTCAAAATTGCAGAAAAACCTTTGCGATGGTGATGCTACCCCCCTTCCCCCTCCCCTTCCAGAGATTTCGAGAATTCCGTCCGCTTGCTAACTAAAAAAAGTAAACTAATGTACGGGCGCACACTCGTTGATGTCTGAAATTATAGGAAAAAACGAAAAAGTATCGCTGACAGTTTAACTTTTTGTGCTTCGTTCTAATTGTCTTAGCAGGGTACAGACAAGTGGGTAGTTAGCACTGACTCGGTGAAACAATAAAGAAACACGAAGTTTGAAATTTACTCGTTTCACAGTTGCTTCCAGTGTACCCAGCCTTGCAATCACAACGATAACTTCCAACAAGATCCGCACATGTGGCTCCGTTCCGGCATGGATTAGGTACACAGTCATTGATGTCTGTTGATTACAAAAAAATTCACATATTATAAACTCTTTCAAAATTATAGCCGCTATCCTTAATTATTAGAAATTCATGTTTTTAAAGAAAATCAGAAATAAAGTGCTGCAGAAGTTCAGTTTATAAAGTCAAACCTGTTTTAAGCGGTCACCCTCTCTATTAAGCGGTTACTTACCAAAGTCCAGGAAATCATTTCCCTCAATTACAGTGTAAAACTGACCTGTATCAAGCGGTCGCGGTCATCTTTTGCTACGTCCCAACGAATTATTTTTTATTGCCTTTACCTCAATTAAACGGTCACTTTGAGAATTGAAGACGTACCATACTAGTGCAACAGGTCACACTGTGTACGGCGTTAAGTCACTGTGGTCTTTAACCTTTAATTTTTTCTTTTGGCCCAAGAAGAGGTAGAAACAGGTGGAGGTCATTTTTTCGCTCTTTGACTATCTACAACACTCACGTTTGTCAGACCTATATTAAACGGTCAACCTGTGTTAAGCGGTCAGTAAGCCATTCCCAACGGGTGATCGTTTTGACTGTCGTTTACTGCTTTGCATTTACGTGTTTTGGACAACAAAAAATGTACTAATTATTCACGCGTTTTGTTAAAAAAATCGGAGAAAAACCATTGCGAGACTCCAGCGACTCGCGTGCCATCCACCTCTTTACTTCCAACTTTTCAGAGTTTGATATACGTAATGTAATTGTTTACTTGTTTCACAGTTGCTTCCGGTGTATCCAGCCTTACAATCACAGCGATGACTTCCAACAAGATCAACACATGCGGCTCCGTTCTGGCATGGATCAGGTACACAGTCATTAATGTCTGTTGATTACAAAATAGTACACACTTGTAGCCACCATCTTTAGTAGAAATTCATATTTTTTATAAGAAAATCAGAAATAAAATGCTCCTGAGTTTTATGTTATTTAGATGTTTTCTGCACTGAACTAATGTATTTTTGGACAACTAAAAATGTACAAATTATTGACACGTTTTTGTTCAAAAAACCATTGCGAGACTCGGGTACCATCCACCTTCGGCTTTCTCCTAACTTTAAAGAGTTTGATATAATTAATGTAGCTGCTTACTCGTCTGACATTTGTTTCCAGTGTATCCGGCCACGCAATTACAGCGATAACTTCCAACAAGATCCACACATGTGGCTCCGTTCTGACATGGATCAGGTGTACAGTCGTTGATGTCTAAAATTAGAAAGGAAAAAGGATAGGAAAAAGTATCGCTGACAGTTTAACTTTTTAACCTTCGTTTTATGTCCGATTGGAGTACAGACAGGTGGGTATTTAACGACAATAGAGAAATACAAAGTTTAAAATTTACTCGTTTCACAGTTGCTTCCAGTGTATCCAGCCTTGCAATCACAGCGATGACTTCCAACAAGATCAACACATTTGGCTCCGTTTTGGCATGGATCAGGTGCACAGTCATTGATGTCTGAAAGTGAAAAAGAGTAAAATGTGTACTATGGAAATCTAGTTAACATTTCTCTGAATTTGATTACAGCGCAAACTATATATTTAAAAAAAAATGTGCTAGATAAAATGATCGAAAAAGAAATGCATTGTTTAAAATTTACTTGTTTCACAGTTGCTTCCAGTGTATCCGGCCACGCAATTACAGCGATAACTTCCAACAAGATCCACGCATGTGGCTCCGTTCTGGCATGGAGCGGGCGCACACTCGTTGACGTCTAAAATCGGCAATAGCAGCCAATTAGATCACTTTTACCACGATGACGTAGTTATTTATAAACTACGCCATCGTTCAATTAATTTTAACTCTTTTTTCACAACTGCAAAGTTTAAAAAAGCAAGCAGCAACTTAATTTTGTAATCGTTTGACAGCATGGTTTTTTTTTTTTTGTTTATAGTCGTGAAAAAAGGTGATACAGTTTTTACCGTTCCAGTAAGATCACCCAGTCCGCCACGAAGGAGAGATTCCCTCCAGTCTGCAGACCAAATTCACTGTGGATATATGTTTCTGAAACTTTCGTCCGTAACGCAGGTTAAGTACATGATTCTATAAATCACGCGCGCTCGCATTTCGCTCGCCCTAGTATCCCCTACTTGAGTCTACTTATTTACTCACTCGTTTCACAGTGGTTGCCACTGTATCCAGCCTTGCAGTCACAGCGATAACTTCCAATAAGATTCGCACACGCTGCACCGTTCTTACATGGGTTGTTTGCACATTCGTTGACGTCTATGACAAGGAATTTAGCTTTGTTGTAAATCATTCATGAAATATAAGTCGCAAAGCATGATAAAGAGCGATATATTCTTTTATTGCAAGTCATGTATTCTCTCTCCCTATTCCTAACTCATTCCCTTCCCCGCTTTTCTGGTCACTATCGTATCTGGCCAATTAGTATACGTAGAGTACTATACACTGCCTTCTGTTTCTAATGCTTAAATGTAGCTGTTGCTTTCCCTCCATCCTGCTTTTTTTCATGTTTTCTTCTTTCAGAGCAAATAGAGAGGAGAAGTCGTTACGTCATGTTGCCATGGTAGCAAAATTTCCGGATTAAACTACAGAAAACAGAGAATGTCACTTAAAGTGAATTCGCACTGCTTCAAACTTCATCGATCTTATTCAATTTGATTTTAAATGTTGGCGAAAAAGTTTAGAAAAAGTAAAATTGTTGTGTTGTGTTCACTCTACTACATATAAGCGGGCGCGTGAAATTAGAAAGTTTCATGTCGCAGTCGTGCAACGGCGGCTAAGAATGTACAAAAAGCGCCATGCACGTGCGAAGTTATTGTTTTGTTGTTCTCGTTGTCGTCGCCTTCGTCTTTGCTTCTATTGTTGTGATCCAGAAATTTTGCTACCATTGCAACCAAACGTGACGTCACATTTCCCCTGTCTACTAAGTCAGCACGCCAATTGCCTGCAATTTACACTCTGGTGTAGTTATCTATCAAGTCTGTGTTCTATTCGAGTAAATGGAAATTCAGATTTTTACAAGATTTTAAACATTACCTAAATGACAACCATAAATTTCCACTCTCATCGATATGTGGCGATACCAAGCGACAATAAGGAGCCGTATATAACGTCCTTTAATTGTAGGGTATAGTGGGTGATAAATAACAGTATTCTGGTCTGAATTTGCAGTAAACACCTGTAAGAGAATTAGTTCGATTACTGAAACCTTCCTTTGAACTTTCACTGCAATCACATTTATACTTCAACATAAAAATATGGATGTTAAAACGTGCCTTATCAACTTTAATTACTTGTCAGTAGTTGGTAATACGTATACACTCAGATAGAAGTGGCGCGCGTAAAATACTGACACCTTCCAGAGACACGCGCAAAGAGCTCTAAATCCAAATATAAGCAAAGTACTAATTCTTGATTCTTCTCGACCATTCATTGGTTAAGCATATTCTTAACAGCTATACAATAAAGCATGCAGACTATAACTTGCAATCATAGGACTCAAAATACTCTTGTCTAAAAGGCCCTTTTACTCAAGAAAATATATTTAGCCAGACTTGACGCTTATCTGTCCTTGTGAAATATACTCTGAAGGGATACAAACAGATGGCAACAACGTATAGTAAAACCTCTTTCTTACCGTAGCTGCTCCCCCAGGTGCTGCTTGGTAGTCCATAAAGTTGTTTCCATCATCTCCGAATTGCAACTTGTATTTTGTAACCCACTGATTAACAGCATATCTCCCCTGTGACGCTACGCGTGTCACCCTGGAGTGGGTCCCAAGGTCAACCTTAAGCCACTGATTGGCGTCATTTGTTTTAGCAGACCAAGAACCCGCCTTCCCTGCTGGAGGTATGTAGTGCAGCCTCGCCTGGTGCGGAGCATGGTTACTGTCCCACTGCGAGGAGGCAGCGACTTGTCCGTCCAAGATTGCACCACTTTGCATGCCAAGAGCAGATTGACAGTCTGGAGTATTTTTAGAAATTGATAGTTTGCTTTTTTTGACTTCATGCTAGTCATGTATACATGTTATGATCATACTCTTTGGCTTCATCAACCCCAATCCTATCTAAAGGCTAAAAATTACAGTAAAGCCGGGTCAAGCGTACCCCTATAGATTCCATTAATGAAATGATTATTTGAAATATGAATCCCTTAGTCGTTCTCGTAACTAAGCTTATAAATTCGTATCCAATTCAGATCCTTATTCCTGCATTCCTGCACATGATGCATGAATAAGAAGTGAATTTTGACTACCAGCTTCTCATGCTGTAAATATAATATAAAAAAGAAAAACAAAGCCAAAACGGTTAATTTACTTCCAACTATAAGGCCAGCCCAATCGATTTTGAAACGCAAATTTCCCTCCGTAGATGAGCCCCTCATAAGGGGCCTTTGAAAAATATAAGCCCCGGGGCTTATTTTCGAAATTTTGCGGTATCTTTACGAGTCATGCCATATTTTGGCAAGCCCGTAGGGCGAGTCAAAATACAAATAGACGAGTAACAATATCCCCCGATACTGCAACTAAACTGTCCAAAAAGAGTTTTAAAAGTAGAATTCACTAAAAGTAAAACAAGAGTGCGTGACAGACTGACGTGACCTTTTGCGTTTTTCGCACGCCTTATGCAAGGCTGTTGCTGATTGGTCTAAAATAAAAACTTGTCAAACTAGTTTACTGAGCAGATGAAATTTTTCTTCGGTGCTTCGGGATTCTATCTTTCAAACATTTTCTAGGAAAATAGAGACACAATGACAAATATTGTAAGGCTTATGATGGTTTTTCTGTTTTTGTATAAAACCCACTGCAAGAAGATAACCTGAAGAGAGAAAATTGCTATAGAAAAAAAAACGAGACAATTTCGCCCATAAATTTAAGGAGTTTCAAAGTGCTACTCGTTAACAACGACTGAGTGAAGCTGAATACAATGTACCTTTCTTGCAGCCATAAACCTCCACGCGCATTGATATGTGGCTATACCAAGTCTTTGGATGAAAACGGATGTAACGTGCCCAAATCGGTGGTTTTAGCTCGTGAGAAACAATGTTATTGCTGTCCATGTTCCCCTCAAATTCCTACAGCAGCATATGATATTTGTTCAGTAGATTCCAAATTTTAGAAATCGCCAAGGACGATAAGGACTTATATTCTCAGAAGTCCGAGCTTCGCTTGGGGCTCCCTCTCGAGGGGACTGCGATCGACCTCGGACGTCTGAGAATTAGACTACAAGTACGAGGACATTCTAAGGACCGCACACTATCATTATACATTGTACTCACTATTTATCTTCTCTTTGGCTAAGGGCCAACAGAATTATTAGAGTGCTTCAGATACTGAGACGAGGACGACTACGAGTACGAGTTTTTCTCAATACTGAGTATTGCTCACGGGTGAACCAGCGTCATTTTGGCGGGAAAACGTGATAGCCGTCGTCATGCTACTAAGGGTTTTAGCGAGAATGTCGTAGTGGCGGAAACAAGTTATCAAAAATAATGAAAGAAGTTTTATCATCATGAGAGGGCTTGCTCTCCTTCAGTATAAAAAACCGTATTAACATTTGGTGAAAAAAAAGTAAAATGAAGCTTTCAGGGGTGTCTTCTCTTTTTGAGAACAGGCGTGAAATCTCGTTTAATCTCGTAATCGTACTCGTACCCGTGGTCAAATCTAAAGCTGTCTAATGTTGGAAATCAGCGACACTCCTACAGATAAGTTAGCAACTGTAGGTACAGTCATTGTAGAGTAGAATTGGTCGTAAAGGAGAATATCATACAGAAGTCCACGGTTCGGTAATAAGCTTTCAATTATTCCATTTTTTTAGTTGAAAGAGTATCAATAACAGTTGCAACAAATTCTAATTGACTCAGTGAAATGGCATCTTGCTACTGTTATCAAAAGCGATATTCCCGCAACAACAACAGGGTGATTGAATTTACTTTACATTTACCTCAACAACTGTTTGACTTTCTTCCTTGTAGTCTTGGTAGTTCACTCCATCATTGCTGTATTTTAACCTGTACTTGGTGACCCACTGAGCCACAGCATGTCTTCCTTGTGACGCAACTCGTGTCACCTTAGTAAATGCAGCGCCCAGATCGATCTGAAGCCACTGATTGGCGTCATTGGTTTTAGCAGACCAAGAACCCGCTTTTCCTGCTGGTGGTTTGTAGTTCAATCTGGCCTGGTGAGGAGCATGATTAGGGTCCCACTGCGACGAAGCTGTAATTTTTCCGTCCAAAATTGCACCACTCTCCATTCCAAGAGCTTCCTGACATTCTGTGAGTTTGGGGAAAAATTAACGAAAATAAAGCGAAACAGTGTAATTAATGTATATTTATTACTGTTACTGGTCTTGGGTGTTCAGCCCAACCCCAATTTGGAGAAAATCGGTCAACGTTCTGCAAAAAATAATTTAAGGTACAACAGTCAAGTGTTTATCAACGTTCAACTCGACTCCAGCCTCACCAACTTCAGATTCAACACCATGACTTTTCAAATGTTTTTGTTTTTATCTTCTCTATATATCTTGTACATTCTTTAAATTTATAAAAAATACTGATACTATTCTTACCAAGAACGTAAACATCGTTTGCCCAAGGACCGCCTTCTCCACCCCCTTGACAGCTGCCTCCCCTACCATGTTTGTCAAACGTATTTTCTGCCGTGGTACTGGAGGCGCACCACCCGTCATCTTGGAGGGCAAACATGTGATAATCTTTCCTCAGAGATGCTACAGCGCACTTAGCGATGGCATGATTACGGTTCTTGTAATTAGAACCATCTAAAATAGGGTCTTTTCCCTCCAAAGGAGGAATTGCACGATTTCCTGTGTCTTTAAAGCATCCAAAACTTGTCAGATAGTCTGTAAGGAAAACACGACAAACACATGGTCTACTATCACGAGTATAATTAGTTCTTTTGGTGACAGCATCGTTTTTTAGGTGGAATGGTTATGAAACCTCCTTAGACTCGTTTGTTAGCTTTTTTGGACCCGACTGTACACAACGTTCAATAGGATTCTTATCATTTTGAACTTACTGACCAATAGAAGCATCGCATTAATTTATTCAGTCTAAATTTTTGAAGAAAAAGCAAAGGCCTGTGCCAGTCAGGGAGCTTCCAACATAAACTACCGCACCGTTTTCAACTTGGATGTTTGCCCGTTTTCATAACCAGTCACCTCTTATACTAACTATGATGACAGCAGTTGCTGTATAAGGAGCTACAAACAAATGCACTTACATGAATTGTTACGTTAACAGACTAAGAGCAGGATGATGAAATGAAGAACTGTGAGAGACTAACAGCTTGAATTAAAATCTTTTATGGTAGCGACTTGGCCTCTGAGGCGAACGTGCAAGAATAAGGATATTAAATATTCTACAAGGGAGTTATATAATTAATACTTAGGCAAATTTAAAATGTTCACATTCAGTGCAGCTCGGAAGGTACTAAAGATCATGAAAGGCCTTGTTATGTGCACATAATTTCAATATTAAACTACAAAAGCAAATTGTTAATAATGCTACCTCGCTCATGCTGGCCAGCAATAAGAAAAGGTACGGTGTTTCTTTCTTTCGTTCTTTTCTCTTAGATTCTTTTAGTTTATTTGTTTCTGCCCCCTACCTTGAGGCTCGAATACCGAAATGTTTAAAAACGCATGTAACTTCTGCGCGTGTGCGGATTGGCCTAAGGCACATCATGAGCAATCAACTGACATGTAAACATCCTGCATTACTATAGTTATGCCTTTCTTATTGTCTTTCTCTCACCTTTGATGAAATAAACTTGATTATTCCATGCTGCGCCTTCACCATCAAAATTACAGGCAGATGATACCCCATGTTTGTTGAACGTCTTTTGAGCGGTTAAACTGGAGAAGCACTGTCCACCGTGCTGAACAGAGAATACTTTAAAACCTCTCTTTCTCGCGGCTCTGTAGCATTTGTCAATAGCATTGATTCTTTGTTGATAGCCCCCATCTAAGATAGGATCTTTACCTTCCAATATTGGAATTGCACGATCTCCTTTGTCCTTGTAACAACCAACAGTCTCATAAGCTGTATGGATATAGAATACATATAGCTCATTCCAGAGGTTAAACGTATTAAAATTGTGTAATTCATCTAAACGTTTCATAAATGCTAGAACTTCATCAAGATTGTGCGCGTGCTCTTAAAGGCGCTCCTAATAGGCACTAACGCTCCAAGCGTAGGACTAAAAGCATAGTTCTTTGCTGGAAGTGATTAAGAGAAATATTTTTTCAAATTAATTTTTTTTACTTCTGTACACTGTATGATCTATTAAGTACCAATATGCTTCATTTTAAATGTTTTACTAACCTGGAAGAATAAGAGGAATTGTTATTCTGAACTCGCTAGGTCCTTTAGCTCGGCCGCGTTCAACTTGTGTTACCCAAGAGGGCTTGTTAGGCTGTGAGTACCCAGCAAAGGCATATGATCCTCGGAATTCTGCCACGAAAGGATCCTTAGCGCCCAATCTTCTAAGGGCATTAAACGCCGCTGCAAAGTGATTTGCAGCTGCATCTTGAACGGCAACCAAAACGATTATACTGATGAAGAAGAAAGAAAAACTGTTTCAGTATAAAGTTTAATGGCGTTAGGTCAAGAAAGGTGGTGACGGTGGTTGTGGTGATGGCGGTGTTAGTGGTATTAGGGGTGCTTCGGAAGGTGGAGGTGTTGGTAGAGAGGGAGATGGAGGTCGTGGTCGTGATGGGTTTGGTAGTGAAGGAGGTGGAGGTCTTGGTGGTGGTGGGTTTGGTAGTGAAGGAGGTGGAGGTCGTGGTGGCGGTGGGTTTGGTAGTGAAGGAGGTGGAGTTCGTGATGGCGGTGGGTTTGGTAGTGAAGGAGGTGGAGGTCGTGGTGGTGGTGGGTTTGGTAGTGAAGGAGGTGGAGGTCGTGCTGGTGGTAGTGGTGTGTTTGGTGAGGGAGCGGGTGGCGGTCGGGGTGGTGGTGGGTTTGGGAGGGAGGGGGGTGGGGTTCGGGTTGGTGGTGTGTTGGTAGTGGAGGAGGGGGGGGTTCGGGTGGCGGTGGGGTTGGTAGTTAAGGAGTGTGAGGTCTTGGTGGCGGTGGGTTTGGTAATGAAGGAGGTGGAGGTCGTGGTGGTGGTGGGTTTGGTCGTGAAGGAGGTGGAGGTCGTTGTGGTGGTAGGGGTGGTGTTGGTAGTGAAGGGGGGTGGAAGTTGTCCAGGTGATAGTGTGATGTTGGTGGTGGTGGTTGTGGCAGCGGTAGCGGTGCAGAACAATAGAAATATGGTGGTGGCGGAGGGAAATTATTGGAAATGAAGTGGTGGTGGTGGTGGATGAATCGGTGAAACAATTTGTTGAAATTGTCACGAGACTTCACGTGATATACTTTAATCAAGGACGATGAGGTCTTCCAGTGTCTCTGCGCCGAAGTTATGCCCAGGTAACAGTTTTCCTAGAAAAAACCATTAGACCCAAAGCTACCCAAACCATTAACTACTTAGTAATCGGTAACTGGTGTTACGTACTGTCCACGTATGGCGTCGAGATGTGCTGCCAGCCTGGTTCCTGCGGTGCCATCAGCATGAGTATCAAAATAAGCTTTTCCATCCACTCGACCTAAGCACAAAGCATATTGTCTGCTGTCAAGATTGCTCACGAAGCGAAGTACATGGTAAATATTATTATTATGGCAATCGATAGTTTAGTAAAACCTTTAATACCATTTTCTGAGAGAGATAAAAAGATCCACGTTACTTTCTTTTTTTACTGATGCACCATTAATGCATCTTGTTTACGCCCAAAGTTTTGCATAACCATTTTTTCCAATTTCTCCTGGGTATCACAGTCGCCGCAAGAGAAGTTAAATTGAAGAAAATGGATGTGCATTTTTTTCTTTTGTTTTAGGGGGGGGGGGGTAACGAGGTGAATTATGATCTATCTTAAAATGGTGAATTAGTAGGGTTTTTTTACGCTAAGTTGCTTAGGCGACTTTGCTAAAATTTGTCAACAGCCGATTGCAGTAACGAGATCTGATGTATTATAGGCATTTAAAAACAGCAAAATTGCGTAATTGTAAAGAAATTCAATCCGATAAGGAATAGAAATGGAGTTATTAGGGAGTTTAAGCAGCGACGTTTTTGAGCAACGCACCTCAACCGGACGTGTGGACGTTTTTGCACTCTTGAGCCGTGATTTTGAACAAATCTTTTGGCTAATCGTCTCTATAAGAGTGAAGACACTTAGCAATACAAATTTAGTAGCGTCAACGCATATTTAAAGGCAAAAAGGCTCACTTCCGGTTGACGTGCGTCGCTCTAAAACGTCCTTGCTTACACTCCCTAATTTCTGTCTCATTGTAAATGAGAAACCTAAATTTTTCAAGAGCTTTCAAGGGGTAATTGTGGTTGAATTTATTTTGAAAGCTGACAGGCTCAGGGGGACTTTCAACTGTAATACGCTGCATAATCTCTATTTTCATCATTTTCAACATCCAGTCACTATTTCTCTTTACCAATGAAACATATACAAATTTGTTAAAATATTCTCAAATTGATTATCATTGTCCTCCTTGGACTCCAACCATGATTGGTGCATTATACGGTCGATTGAAATCAGATTTTAAAGGAAAGTTAAAGAAAAGAAACTGAGATGTGAAAAAAAGCTGATTACTAAGACATCGATTAAAGTACCTGTCTTGGCATCCACTGTGACAACATTGTGTCCTCTTCTGTGAAGTGAATGATCCACCCCATTAACCTTGATGTAGGCAATGCCACATGTACCAGGGGCTTTGCCAGGGTCGTCACAGCCTTCACTGCGAACATGAATATCTAACACGCGAACTGAAAAGGAAAAGTGAATGTGGTCAGTTCACCCCATATTAATTAAGGTAGCTGGATTCAGGAATCCGGGAATTTTTGCTTGTAGAATCCAAAATCTACTGTACGCAATTTTCGCTAGTGGATTAATCATCCGGAATTCTTTCCTTCTAGCAGAAGTATCTCTCGCCGTTAGATACGTCTTCTAGCGGGCAACCAGAATCCTGGGCTTTGGAATCCCACTGACGATTGGAATCCAGGGCCACGCGCGTTTCACTTAGAAAAAATCTGGAATCCAGTACCTCGAATCCGAAATCTACGGCGTGGAATCCGGAATGTAAGACTGTATTAGATTCCCTTACATGGGGTGAGTCAGTGATAAATGATTTTATTTTTTAAAGCCGATGTGATGCTGGAATACAAAACTGAGCCTGCACTGTGTACAACCTGTTCCTCGCTGAGCGTGATGGGGGCTGTATAATATACTGCAAGCTAACAAAACTTTTGTGGCAGCAATTAAAATTCTGTACTGTGCAAAAAATAATTATCAAACTCAGTCCATAGAACTATTTTTTTGTAAAAAAAAAAAGTAAGTTAATATATACTATAAAAAGGTTTTGGAAATCACGCTTAGCCAGCACGCACTTTTGACGTTTTATCGAAGAGACCTGTGTTGTAATAACAAGCCGGAGGTCAATCCATCCCTGATTGAAGGGCGGGCACAATTCTTGTAGTGAACTAAAATGGGGTTCTTAGAACTTAAATCAAGCGAGTTGGAGTAACCGTGGTGAATGTAACGATGCGAGTTCAAGTGCCTTTTTTGCTTCCGTCACCTGCCGTATTGGTTAAGTTCCGCAAATAGATGATAGCAGAGTAAAGTGCTCCCTGTGTTGCTCCACCATTCATCCTTAACATAAGCTGATATATAGATTTAGCCGAGGCCAAAAGAGAAGCCCTCGTAGGATCTTTCATGATCCGTTATCGAACGTTCGCCTTAAGCAAGAAGTAAACTAAATGGAGCTGAGCTTGCAATCAATTCAAAACCATTAACTGAGCAGCGGAGAACTTCAAAAAATACGTCACCTCAATGAGTTGTACATCTGAGCCTGCGATAAAGTCATGTGACACTGGTCAGCGGGTACCCTTCTTGACAGATGTCAATTGATTAGAGCTCTGCTAGTATTAGATTGAACAGAGTAAAAAGCAAAACATGTTACCTGGATCTATCACAGTCGTCACTATACTAGGTCCCAGGGCTCTTTTGGCTTGGGCTTGACTTACCCACGAGGGCAGATATGAGCCAGCATACCCAGCTAGAGCAAAAGAACCGCGGTAGTCCAAAACGATCGGATCCATTGCGCCCAGCCTTTTAAGTGCAGCAATCACTGGTGCACCGCGAACAGAAGCTTCGTCTTGGAACGAGACGAGGACAATCTTCCTTAGTGGCAAAATTTTCAAATGTAAAAAACAGTTACATGATAAACATCAGCATCTTAAAATATACCTAGGAAATTAAACTCACCAGCTTCTCATCTCGGCTGGAACCGAGATGATAATGCGATCGGTGTGTAACCTGTTATTAGATTGCACAACTTGCAAATGTCATTTTTACTGATACCAAATCTAATAAGTGTCAAAGTTAAATTAACTTCAGTCCGGCCTACATCAAAGACAATTTGTCCAAATCGAACTTGCGCTGCGTGCTTGTTCGATTAATAATAATAAGTATCAGTAAAAAAGATATTTACTATGAAAATGACGAGAAACAACTTCAATGTGACCTCAACACGCTACAGTAGAAATGGGGTGAAAATTGGCAACTTCGTTTTTACCCTGACAAGTGTGAGGTTCTGCGTTTTATCCATGCTAGTTATCCTTACAAGCTCTCTGGTTGTGCGCTTCAGTCTGTCACCGAAACAGTTGATTTGGGGGTCTCCTTGACTTCTAATCTATCCTGGAACATCCAAACGCAGAAAGTTGAAAATAAAGCCAACAATATTGTGGGTTTCCTTAAACGGAATGTTGGTCCAGGGAACAAGGAAGTCGTTTCTCGGCTGTACAATGCCTTGGTTATACCCATTCTGGAATATGCTGTCCCTCTGGTCACAATGTTTGGGTGGTCCAGTCTTCAATCAATGAGGTCTTATCTATCTTTGCTAGAGTGCTACAAGACTATTCATGGTCTTAATGACCTCAACAGTAATCATTATGATAATTTTGAATTTTATACCACTACCCACACAAGGTTTGTAATTTCTACGGGCTCGTGCACTTTTTTGGGTCTTTGAAAAATTCACTCGTGCTTGTTTATTCCAAATTGCACTCGAAATCATGTGATTACCTATACAAGTTGCACTCGACTCAGTTTTATTACCGTTGTATGAATCATTGATCGAATACTTACTCCCCTGACAGCTTATTCAGGTAGTCTGCGCCACTTAAGCCAGCGTTATGCAATGCATGAGTGTCAAATGCTCTGGTCTCTAAAAACACACCTTCAAGGGACAGAATTAAAGCAAATAACCAATAAATAATGGACTAAGTAATGGATTTAATGCTGAGATGTCTGATAACTTTTGATTTTTGCGCAGTTTCGATTTGAAACAGATGTCATCAATTGAAAACAAAAGTATCCCTGGAGCGAGTCAAGAGTGGTTGGGATTGCTCGCGTTGCTTGCGAAGGTGGCGCAGCTTTTGTAGACCATACAAGAGCAATACTTTATGAATCTTTACCTCACAGAAAATAACACGTCATTGGGTAATAGCGAGCTGCTCTTAGAACCAGTATTTTCTCTATCGATTACAAGATAATCAAGCTCTAATCATTCATGATTATTATTCTTTTTTTTGGTGGTTTTTAACATACATAATCCTAACTATAACAAAATCTCTAATCGGATTGGCTATCTACATCCCTCATTTCGGCACTAATGGTACAGAGTAATAGAACAATACGCCCCTGAATACGCACCATCACGCACGCACACTTGAATGGCTTCTCTTTTTTTTCCAGTTTCTAGCAGAAACGCTAGTAAGGTCTGTGATTAAACAGATCGGACTTTCCACTAGGTGGTCGTCCGGTTTTGCTAATCACTCTTTATGACTGCAGACTTTTGGACTCCACTTAGACCCATTATTAAGTGGACTTGAAATCGTTCCCCTATTGTAATAGCGCTTCCATGGTTAGGTGTTCGAATTTGGTAACATACCTTCTGAAGAAAACACAGCAACGTTGACTCCTCTGGAGAAGAGTGAGTATTCTTGATTATTTACTTTAATGTAACCTCTACCACAACCTGTTCTACCGGGGTCGCTGCAGCCTTCACTTCGAAGAAAAACGCTCATACTTGGTTCTGTCAGAGTAAAAAGTTGCGTTTAGCAGACAAAATTTAAAATCATGAATAGATTCATTTCAATTCAGGGTAGATTGATTTTAAGTATAAGCGTTATAGCCTAAAAATGATGAAGAAATTCCAGCGGGATGAATCCACCCTCAGTCTCATACTAAGTGGTCTGCAGTGTATTTCAGTGTGAAGGTGGTAAACGTATCAACAGTTAGAAACTAGACCCGTTTTCTTCATCATTTAATGGTAGTTCGCTTAAAACGCTGCGCGTGTTCCGGGCTACAAGATAGTAATGTGCAGAGATCGTGAAAAGTGATGCGAACAACGCGCGGAGGCATGAAAGAGATGAAGCACCACCGCCACCTTCCCTGGATCACGCGCTTCTAATTTCCGCTTGGCTTGTCTCTACTATCTGAAAGCCTGGCACAGTCTGCATGTGATAAGCACATTGTTGATTAATTGATTAATTGATTGATGGATGGATTGATTTGATGATTGATTGATTGAATGATTGATTGATTGATTGATTGATTGATTGATTGATTGATTGATTGATTGATTGATTGATTGATTGATTGGTGGTCATAGGTATTCTATGTGATGATGGCATATCTTCTTACGCGGTGGACTGTGTTGAACAGCAATTCTCAAGTTGATCACGCTGGGTCCCTGTGCTATTTTTCGCTGCTCCTGTGCGATCCATGATGGTTTCTGTGCTCCAGCATATCCAATAAAAGCAAACGAACTTCGGTGCTCTATCATGATTGGTTCAGTAACGCCCAGCTTCTTGAGAGAGTCCCTCGCTGGCTGCCAGTGATTTAAAGCGGAATCCTGGGTGGCAATCAGAACAGCCTTCCTGTAGTAGCGCAAGAATGTATATTTTGCATCATTCAAGAATGCAACTTGTATTTATAATTGCAAACAATGGCGTCACTATTAAAGCAACCAAACATTCAGACAAGTGTTAATGCAAAACAACTTGTGCAAAAGCCAACAAAGACCCATCAAACTAAATTCTAACTCCAGTAGGGCGACTAACATCGGCTTCAGTCTGGTAGGCTGTGCTTTTTATCGTTTTTTTTTTTATCGTTAAATTAAACGTTAAATTAATTTGCTTACTTATGCGTTTTTGTATCAAGAATACAGGACTGTTGTTGTCGTTGTTGTTATTTTTGTGTTTTTACCTAAAGTGTCACTTAGCTTCTGCAGCTTTAATGACCTTGCAGTGTGTAGTGTATCTAAGCCCAATATATGTTCATGTGATACAGGTCAAAGGACTCTCCATTTTAACCTTCGTCAACTGGCGTTGAAATGATAGTTTCTTGGTCAGTGTTGCGGATGGTTGCAATCACCAAATGACTTAATACAAAAGATTAAAAAAGACCTGATTCTGGACAATACACAGGCACACCACAAAACAACACCAAGAAACACCCTTTCATATGGATGGTGTATGTCATAAAGAACGGTAAGACAAATTTAAAGCAAGAGCTACACATACACCAACCCAAGGCCTGGCCAGTACCTCACGCATGCGCACAGCCATATCACCCAGGCAGAGGCAGCTGTGGACAGCTGTATCGCCCTTATTGAGGCTCATCAGCATGACAAAACCGTCGGGTCAATGGATGGGGGAAACCCGTGTCTCAAAGACCCGCTTGCTGCTGAGGCGAGTGAAAGCACTCCTTTAAGCGCCAGCACCATACCCAGGCCGTGGGTTAGTGTATGCGTGCCCCTTGCTTTTATTAAGTTTGTCTTCATAAAGAACAATAGCTTATTCTCAAATGCATGTCTCAAAAAGTGTAATATTTCACATTCATTCGTTTGTCTCAAAGGGCGGTCAAACCACACATAAAATCCATAGATGCCTTCAAATGAGTTAATATTTAAAATGTCAAAATTGCTGTCCTTTCGGTACGCAAAGTAATAACTGAGGAAACTGGCACTTACTCCCCAGTTATGGTGTTGAGATAATCTCTCATTTTTTCACCAGAACCAGCAACAGCATAAGTATCAAACGCCTTTTTATCAATGACTGCGCCTGTTCAGGAAAACGATAAATATGTTAAAATAGATAATTTTAACATGTAGTGATACCACAGGCTCGTTATTAACAATTAATCACATGGAGACTGATTATGATATGACGAACTATGCCGATCGAGGAGGGGATTGGCCAAAATAGATAATAAACTCCGTTGAGATTTGCGTAATTCTTTATAGGGAAGACGAATTCAGTAATTGTTTTATTATTAATTCAATAAAATATTTCTAAAGTTCTTAACACCCCCACCAATTCGTAGACACTTTCCCGTTTTCTCGGCAATGTTTCAGAATATAAACTAAAAAATTGGCTGCCGTTTCGTCTTCGCATAGCTTTAAACTCTTTCGAGTTCTGCACTCAGCAGGCCAAAACAGTTGAGCTGCAAGGTGTCACTACATTGCATGCCAGACGGCAATATACAATCATTGACGGCAATGACTGTATATTGCCCGTTTCCTCCATGTTTGGTCAGCGACTGCTGGTTATGAAGAATAGGCCGCCCCATGTAAGAGAATCGGGATTCTGGAAAGAGGGAAATTTTTGCATTTGGTCTATTCGGAATCCGGAAAATTTGAGTTTTGGAATCCTAATTCTTTGGAACCACACTAACGATTAGATCCGGAATCCAAGTTCCAGTGTCAAAGAATCCGGAATCTAGAACCTGGAATCCGGAAATCTACAACATACTTGGATTCCTGAATCCAAGACTGTCTTGGATCCCTTACACGGTGCGAGGCGGGAGAATTATAAAGCCCAATCAGAAACTGCACACTAGCCCTCCCCTCCCTAACATTTTACGGGCCACACATCCCCCAAGCTTTACAATGTTCTGCGATACACGTATTTTATTTATCCGCACTTTGATACTCGCCTGTTATTTAGCCTTCGTGTGCGTTGCTTTCTTCTATTTGCAGTGTTTAGAAGCATGTTATTAAGATTTCAACACGTTTAAAGTGAGCAGTAATTCTTTGTTTACATAGATTATTTCACACACGTGAACTTGCTCAATCCTAAAGTTTCAATTTACTGGGGAGGGGCATTAATCGTTGTTAACTTAGGATGTCTTAGTCTTATTTCACCTGTTTTGGTATCAGCAACGACGATGTTAAACCCTCTTTTACGAAGAGAGTGGTTCACGCCATTAACGTACAGGTAAGCAATGCCACAAGTGTCTGCAGTTTTTTCTGGGTCGTCGCAGCCTTCGCTTCTAATACGCATGTCCATGAACTTAACTGCAGATGATAAAAGCCACAGCAATTAGTCATGTGCATTGGCTATTTTCGAGTCCCCTATAATACGTACACTCTGTTTGCCCCCCCCCCCCCCCCCCCCACCCACCTAACCTACATTTTCTTTTTTATCTTCTCTACCTTTATTTTTTTTTCTTGCTTTAATATTTAAATTTTATATATTATTATATTCTAAAATAGACTATAAGCAACACTCCCTCCCACTTTCTGCCTCATCGTCTTATTTCCAAATTTTTTCTTTTCAGGTAAGCAATGCCACAAGTGTCTGCAGTTTTTTCTGGGTCGTCGCAGCCTTCGCTTCTAATACGCATGTCCATGAACTTAACTGCAGATGATAAAAGCCACAGCAATTAGTTATGTGCATTTGCTTTTTTCGAGTCCCCTATAATACGTACCCTCTGTTTTCCCCCCCCCCCCCCCCCCAAATTTTACATAAGTTGTTTATTTCTGAAATGTGTACATGTTTAACTATTTGAGCGATTCAAAAATAGAGAATTCACCATTGGCACATCTCGTAAAATACACCTTGCTTTCCCTCCCCCCAAATTTGGCATAACCTTTTTATGATTATTATTATTATTATTATTATTTCTCCAGTGTTACAGTCGTTCCAAGAGAAACTGAGGACAATACCTAAGCAAACTTTTGTGGGGCAAACAAGTTGTATAATGGGACGTGCATGCAAGTTGTGAATTTTGAAACTGTAAAATATACTAGGCACTTCTCTGTTAGCAGAGGCCTCTTTTCCCGCCCAATACAAGGAAAAAGAGGCCTCAGTGCTAGCAGGGAAACTACTGACATGAATATCCCAGATGAAATTCACATCTCGGAATCTCAGTTAAAAGGTCCCGATCGACACTAGCATTGAACAAGCAAATACACAAAAAATAAACAAATCAGAATAATTGAATAAATATTTTTATTCTTTAGTAAGCAAATTAAAAACATACCTGAGACTGCTCTCCGTTGGCGCGGTTTAAAAAAACCTGAGAGAAGTGTAACAATAAAAATACAATTTATGCCATATGCCTATTCGCAATAGAATATCAACGAATTTAAGAGTTGCAAGCGCAATACGTTACAATGATAAATGAAGAATGGAGCTGTGTCACAAAATTTATTGAAGTTCAATATAAAAATAACTATTCAAACGAGAAAGGAAGGAACAATACAGCAAATCCAAACGGAGACACGGCTGGACAAACTTGAAGAATATTACTGCACTTTTCACAAACATGCGAACTCTAAAGTTCAAGGCCGCCTTCACAATTGCGTTTTTCGCTGCCGTCAATCATAATTACGATCACAAGCAAGGAACCTTGAAACACAGAAACACACAAAACGGATCGAAATGCACCAATCACAAATCACGAACCATGACCTTTTGAACCCGTTAAAGTAAAGTTTTGTTTCCTAAGAGGTCCGTCAAGATGATTGACGGCAGTCAGTCAGCCAGTCGTCAGTTGGCTTTTGAACTTCAGAATTCGCGTGTTTGTGAAAAGCACATTAAAAGGGATTGCGATTGGCCAAACAGTTTTAAAAGTTCAATTTTGCTGTCTCAGTAACGTCTGATATGTGCTTGTTTGACATATTTATCTGACATGAAGTCTTTACTATAAATTTCGCAAGTTCCATAGCGAATATGGACTGTTCATTGGCCGAGGGCCAACCACATGGCCTGCAAATAACTGCCAGCAATAAATGGTCTGCTCATGCGCAATGTGGTCCAATATGTTTGGCTGCAAATAATTAATATTCTGATCATGTGTAAATAAAACCACGCTTTTCTCCTTCTCGCGATCGCCCTTGTGTGAAAATGGCAGATCGCCTCGCTTCCTGAAGATATTCATTCTGAAAATTAAACTCGGTGATCAAATGATAAAAAAATCATTACTCTCGGTTATCGCAAAATATCCTGATTTGTCAGTGCATTTCGCAGATCAATTATTTTCCTTAGCCGAATAATTGACCTGCGAGACACTGAGAAACTGATCACGATATTTTGCACAACCTCGTCTAATAGTAGTCAGGGGCACCCAACGACAATTTTCGGAAAATATCTGTTCGGAAGACGATTTGAGATTTAGAATTTTCGGAACATTTGTTGTAAAACGTCTTGCTTGCCTGCCTCTCCTAGGATTTTCGAACATCTAGGCTACGTTACTAAGCCCACAACTGTCAAATGGTCTATTGTTGATTATTATCAAAATGACCTGGGCATTCACGTGACAACAGCCCCTTTAAATTGTTTGTGCAAAGTTCGTAACTCAGAGTTTTACTAACCTACTTGTGGCTCTGATTTACATATCGCTGCCATCATTAAGATGGGTAGTAGAGGGGAAATAGTTTTCATCCTCAACAAAGGATCAGTGAAGTCCTCTTTGACCTGCTTGTTATATTGGTAATCTGTTGGTGTAAATGACAATTGCATTTTCCCAATTTAGCCTAAAGAGGTTTTTCACTATATACACAAATTTAGCACAAATTTAGGTGCTTAAGAAAAAATACATAGTAGCGCCTAGCTAAACGTATTTAGTGGTATTCAACTCATTCTGTGGGTAAAACCTGTAAACCATTACAATTGCAGTTGTCTCCAAAGAGGATACTGAAAGTTGACATATCTTATTTGCCCAAGGGTACACAATTTTTTTTAGGCTAAACCAAGAGAGAATGATTTCATTCTCTCTTGCCTAAACAGGTTCATGTATAGAGGGTGCAAAAATACAGTAAAAGCCCGCGACTTAGAACCTGGTTTTTCAAACCTGTTAGGCTAAAACTTGCTGGTTAGGCCCCCTCCTAAAAGCTCTTTCAGTAATTGAAAAGTACAAAAACATAATAAAAGATGGATTTTTTATGGTCTGTATGTATTGCTTGACTTAGATAAAAGGGTAACTTTGAAAAAAAAGAATTAATTATCTTTTTTGGTTCCCATTCAATTTTCAGAAGCTGATTGATGTTCTCCTAAAAAAGGTAGCTGTTAGTGATAAAAAAGAAGTCTCCATATCCGTTTAATCATTAAAATAACAGTTCTATGATAAATCTCAAAGTATATCTTTAAAAGTCGGTCCTTTAGAACTTCCTAAATTAATTCTTTTTAAGCCGATTTCTGGCGTTATAATTTGGAGGAACACTGATCAACAAAGACGTTCTATGCCAGAGAAATCTAGCAGTTTAATCAACTGTATATTAAAATTTATCGCATGACATGTACATAGCAGATCAGAGAAAATAAATAAAAAAGCAATGAAAGGCTACCTGTAATAAAATTTCAGAATTGTCAATCAAAGCATTTCTTTATAATATGACTGTGTTTTTTAGTTAATAAGTAATGGTGCTTTTACATACCTCGTAAAGTTTGACTCACCTCGCTGAAGTCAACCTACCTTAAAATGAAAGAACTCCCTGTATAATCAAGGACAGAATTAAGAGCGGTTGGCCAAACTGCTTGGTTTCAGTTAAATGAGCAAAAGCTAAACAAATATAGTAACTTATATTGAAACGTCATGCGCTCAATTAAACGGCGTTCCGAATAATTCGAGAAAAAAAGCGAATTAATTATTATCGTCCTTACTACACGCACGTAAGAATTTATTTTTACTTTCCTTTCTTGTCCGTAAATTAAGGTACTGAAAATGTTGTTTGGGTGTTAAATTGTGTACTTGAGACTGTAATTTTATTAAAATAGAGATTGGATCCTGTAAACTGGAGTGGCGCCAAGTTTCAAACAGCTAAGTAAACAGGATACTACGTGATTAACTTTATTTCCAATTCATTTTTCTTTGATTTTACTATTTTGTGTGCCTAACCTTGTCGCTGCGTGGGAAATGATAGTCTGTTAGGTAAAATTTTCGTGTGATTTCTCATCTTTGTAATAACTAATTAACATCACTTTCTTACACTTAGTGGAGAGCTTCCAATTTACTGTAAATGCTCTAACATTTTCCTTTCTCGAGTGTATCTAAAAGTCTTTTTCTTGTTTTCCGTTTTCGTGCACACTTCAAATGTCGCACAAAGTGAAGGCTTCATCTTCTTCTTGCTGCAAATGTAAACGAACTAGATTAAAAAAACGTGTTGCCTCTGTCAAAAATCTGCTTTCTTACTGCTTGGGTTATTTAGGATCTAAAAAACGCTGGAATATCATAGTTTCAAGACTGAAGCACAATGTAAAGATTGTAAGGCTTTAAAAAAACTTACACACGGTACCTTTGGAGACGCCGTTAACACTCTTTTCTGTAATTATATTTCAATATTAATAGTACACTATAGCGAATGATATTTCCATTTTAGAATGTATTGTGCTATCAATTAGTCCTTTTGCAATAGTTATTCACGTGCATGCCAACTTCCTGAAAGCACGAAAATGATTCTCTTTGGAAAAAATGATTTTAGCAGGAACTAAAACTGCGTTTAAAAATTAGGCAACCTGTAAATTTTCAGCCGTTATACCTCAAAAGAAGAGATTGTTACGGCCGCCAAAAGATAGAAGGATCAGTGCATGGAAAAAACTTAGCCGCCCCGTCACGTTGTGTGGTTTTCGATAACAATCCTTTTCAAATACTGAAATTGTCTTACAGTCATCAAATCTTTCCCATACGCATCGCGGGTATGATCAAATTTTATCCACTGGTTATATTATCACCAGGCTGTAAAAGGCTTATTGCAAGTGTCAATCCTTCTTTAGTATCTAGATCTGTACGCGGAAAAAACGTTTTCTTATTAATTTTTTTTCAGGCTAGTTTTGTCGAATATAGCGCACTAATTGTATTTTATTTACAAGTTCTCATAACACAAAATTATTTTCTTTTTAAACTTTAAGTCTCGGTTTTATTCTTTTAACTGACTTCGCAAATTTTAGCCTCGACATACTTTTAAAATTAATTCTTGCAAAAAGAGTGAACAATGGACATAACGTTACCTTGGTTTTAATTCTATAATGAATAACACTCCACTGCGAAACTTCGATCAAATTATGCG